CCACAGGAAGCAGGGGTGCTGGTGGGATGCTGAGCAGGGAAGGGCAGCAGCCACTCAAACGTGCTGTCCTGCAGGTGACTCCTGGGGGCTTTGGAGGAACGGAGGGAGGGACGCAGGGCGGGGGAGATGAGACCCACAGGAGTTGGTGCCAGGCCTGGGTGCCCTGGTCCCAGGTTTCCCAGCTGCCCAGGGAGGCCGAGCAACCTGGTGCTGCCAAGCCTAGTCCCACTCTGGCTGAGGACTGAGGGACCCAGGGCCAGAGCAAGGCTCCTGAGGGCCACCGCCTGGATGCTTACCTGAGCCCGTCCTGCAGCAGCCGGGCGCACCAACTCCCGGAGCCAGTCACTAAGGTCCACGGATGCCCGACGGCGGGAGGAGCTGGGGGATGAGCTGCAGCAGTTCGGGTTCTCATCGCCACACACGGGTGAGCTGCAGGGGTGGTTAGGGCGGCCATGTGAAGACAAAAACGCTGTAAAGCGGGGAAGGTTGGTTTCATGGTACTAGGTCTTTGTACAAATATTTTAAGTTATTAACTGCTGCTAGTTGTAAGACATAACTTTAAATAGTCACCATAATTAGACTACCCTCTTAGGTGCCAGGCTGTCCTCTCCAGGCCAGCTGGCTTTGGGGGCGCTAGTGCAGTTCAAACGGGCCCATCCAGCCCAGACCCCAGGGACCTGGAGATAGCACAAGCCCAGCCCACAGACTTGCAGGGGAATCAGCCCGCTTCAAACACCTCGGGCTAAAAGGCCTCGGCACCACCGCCGGCTGCCCAGCGCGGTCCTGCTCCTTCGGGTTCCTCCTGAGGCTCTGACGCAGTCCTGGCACAGGGGCAGCGGCAGGCGGGTAATGCCTGGGCCTGGGCCCGCAGGTGACCCCGCGGCTGAGGAGTGGTCCCCGTGGAGCGTGTGCTCCAGCACGTGCGGCGAGGGCTGGCAGACACGGACGCGCTTCTGCGTGTCGTCCTCCTACAGCACGCAGTGCAGCGGGCCCCTGCGCGAGCAGCGGCTGTGCAACAACTCGGCCGTGTGTCCAGGTGGGCGGGCGCCGGGCGGCCGCGCGAGGGACGGGGTCGGGCACCGGGCACC